TTCTTAACAATTGTTCTTCGTTGAATTGAGCTGTATGCCTGTCACTTGAAAAATCATTAATTGAGTATATAAATTGGCAACGAGCTGGAGTAATAATTACAAAAGCATATATACTTTGACCAAGAGGACTTGTCCAAGAATCAATACCTTTCAAGAATGATCAAATAATTTTTATTATTACATAAATAATTAATAATTAAAATTTACATTAATAAACTTTACTAAAAATAATTTACATTAATTAATGATTAAATTTACATTAATGAATTTTACTTAAAATAATTACATTAATTACCTAAAGTTAAATTTTTGGAATCCCGCACCTCTTTTTCTATCTTTAAGGTTATGTTGGCAATCTCAGAATTTAACAGATGATTAGACAAGGTGGTATGTTTTGGAGGTTCATAGCCATTGCATAAAGTTTTTGTAAAATCACAGAAGAAAAGTGAATCTGCAACACTAAAAGGGATCCCACAACATACAAAAAAACAAACCATTGCTTGATTTGCTCTTGAAATTTTTGGTGCATCTATTCTATCACTGTCAAAATAAGAATGAAGATCCATATTATTTCCAATATTTCCTCTTTACTTTTTATTTGCAGATTCTATATTATCATCTGATTTAATTAATCTTAAGTATTTTAATTTTACTTCTCTATTAACCAATGAGCATTTCAGAGCCAAATGCCCTTTCAAGTCAGAAGGTTTACCACACTTCCATGGCTTGAAGCAAAATTTACTTTGTGCTGAAAGGCAAGAATCATGTGGAATTTCTGTTGCATTAAAATAATTCCATACTGGATCTCTAGATTTACCTCCTTGTCTAGAATTTCCAGTACTTGTATTAATTTCAGAAATTGATAAAATTTTCTATTTCATCAGCCTGTTTGTCAAAATGTAATTTAATAATAAAAATTAAAATTCTTCACAAGCGAATCACAAGGAACATTAAAAAATATAATTCTATATTACGCGTAAAAATATTAATGGTGTGACGAAAATCAGATTGGTTAATATGGGGCATGGGATATGGGATGGGGATTTGTGGGATTTTTACTGATCTCAAAGCACACCCACCCGCTCATACCCGATGGGATTGAGGGATCCCATAGTATGGACGGCAAGTATATTTGTGATCTTTAAAATTGTCTTTTTCTTCGTTTCTATTGGAGAAGTCTCTCAAATTA